TCGGTTCATTCACGGCGGAAGCTTCAGTAGTATGATCCCTTCATTCTTGCTTCACAAGCTGATCAGGTATGTCAATTTCTTCATAATAATGGTTTATATTTTACTAATACCTCGTATAATTGATAGGTGTGCTACATCAGTTACCCTCGAGTGACATACAGAGACGATCCATGGGTTACTGTAACGCAAATCAACCCAAGAGGACGAGTCGATGGAGAAAATGAACCATTACAACCAGACTCTACCAGTAACGTGACTGCAGTTGAAGATTTGGCAGATGTTGAACTTGTTGAGAATTTTAACGAGTTTGGACTTGATGCGGTTGTACATTCAGAGGACGAAGCTGAGGTTGGAGAGTTTGATGAAGATTCTGATTAGGAATTATTTTTACTTGACATGTATTTATTAGTTGTAGTACATCTTACATAATTTTTTTTTAACAAGTTTGTCGGTATTCCGTCACTATATACCGACGGAATACAGACGAAATGTGGTTTATTTAAAAAAACAGTAGTTTGTCGGAATGTCGTCGGAATATACTGACGGTATTCCGACGAACTAGCGTTTTTAAAGATTTTCAAATAAAAAAAAATATAAATTTGGAAACCGAAACTATAAAAATAACACATAATAAGTGTTTTGTATAGTATTAGATCGCACCGGTTCAAATATAACAACTCATTAAAATATTTATGTATGTATATCATTGTTTTCATAACATCTCATCTTAACACTCATGTACTTATACAATTACATTCATATAATCTTACACTACAAAAATGTTTTTGTGTAAAATCGTGTTTTGAACACATTTTTATAATTAAATATTTATGCTAATACTATATTCATTTGGAAAGATTTGGAATTTGCATTTAGAAACTTGTGTTAAACCCCTAAACCTTAAGTCGTCGGAATTCCGTCACTATATACTGACGGAATTCCGACGAAATCATAACCCGGGAAAAGCAAACCGCGTGAAATTTTTTGCAAACCGCCAACCGGTTTAAATTTAATGATTTCTCGGAATTCCGTCACTATATAGTGATGGAATTTCGATGAACCATGTTCCGTCGGAATCATTAAACTAAAAACCCTACACTTCCTTTCTTCTTCGTCATTTCCGCCTCATCCCTCTCTTTTCTCTCTCGGCGATTTCTGTCTCATCACTCTCATCTCTCTTCTCCGGCGACTCCTCCGGCGATTCCCGACTCCTCCGGCGCCTCATCACTCTCATCTCTCATCTCTCTTCTCCGGCTCTCTTCTCACATCTCTTCCCCCAAACCACAAACCATGTTAGATTGCATAAACTCTTTATATATTTCAATTTTTTAGGGTTTAGGATGTTAGATCTTAGGATTTGAGGTTGTTTGATTGAAAACTCTACGATTGAATGGATAGTTTAGGATCTATTTGCTAGGATTGTTGTTTTAATTTTTTTTAAAAGGTTTTCTATTTTTTAAAAACGTTTTTTTTTGTTTTTAAAAACATTTTTCTTATTTCCAGTAATATATTATATATAATAAAACGTTTTTGTAATTTTATAAATATTTAACAACTTTTTCTATACTTAAAAACGTTTTATAAAACGTTTTCTAATTTTTAAAAACGTTTTTTTATTTTTAAAAACGTTTTTCTTATTTCCAGTAATATATTATATATAATAAAACGTTTTTCTAATTTTTATAAATATTTAACAACTTTTTCTATACTTAAAAACGTTTTATAAAACGTTTTTATTTTATTTTTTAAAAACGTTTTTGTTATTTCCAGTAATATATTATATATAATAAAACGTTTTTGTAATTTTTATAAATATTTAACAACTTTTTCTATACTTGAAAAGATTATATAAAACATTTTCTAATATTTAAAAAACGTTTTTTATTTTTTTTTTAAATTTTTTTTTGTTATTTCCAGTAATATATTATATATAATAGAACGTTTTTGTTATTTTTATATATATTTAACAACTTTTTCTATACTTGAGAAGATTTTATAAAATATTTTCTAATTTTTAAAAAACGTTTTTTATTTTATTTTTAAAAACGTTTTTGTTATTTCCAGTAATATATTATATATAATAGAACGTTTTTGTTATTTTTATATATATTTAACAACTTTTTCTATATTTAGTAAATGTTTTATAAAACGTTTTCTAATTTTTAAAAACGTTTTTGTAGTTTTTATAAATATTTGACAACTTTTGTATTAAAAGATTTGAAAAGAATTCAGATGTATTGTAATTTTTTTTAGGGCCGAGGATGCATCCACCCGTCCCACATTGCCCCGTCGTCCATCACACCGTGGCGGCCGAGTTAGTTCGGTGAGCAGTTCCCATGCATCGGGATCGTCTCACGAACAAAACTCGGTTCCCGGATATGCTCCCCCTCTGTATGTTCCCCCTCCAGTTGTTGAGCAGGATCCGGGGGTCATATCAATTGAAGAATTGGTTCAACAACCAGGTCGAGAGTATCTCCCGGTTCTTCATCCCAACCCACAGCCGGGACGTACGACTTGGTCAGTATTTTTATTTTATTTGTGTAATTATGTTTTTTACATTAATTAACTTTCTAACATGCATTTTTTTTAAGGTTTGACAAGTCGACCAATGGCATTAGCAAGAGCATCAACAATATGATGTATTCCATTCTCCGTATCGGATATCTGAAGTGGAGTGTGATCCCTCACGAGGAACGGGAGTTGTGGTTTCGTCAGTTTGCGGTAACTCTTCAAAAATTTTAAAGCATTTTCAATTATTTTTATATATATCTACTTATAAAATTATCTGTGTTTTGTAGCAAGAGTTCACTTGGGAGTCTGATCTCACGGAAACAGTCCGTCAGAGATTCAACGAAAAGGCCATGGACTCTTATACGAAGCAGATCAACGCGTGGAAGACAGTATGGCAGAAGAACAAGAGGCCACGGTTCATCAACGGGACGGTATGGGAGCAGTTGATAGTCCATTGAGGGAAGGACGAGACTGCAACGACATCTCGCAAGAACTCCAAGAACCGGAAGAGCAATCGTGGCGGGCAAGGTATGTATGTGCACAACCTCGACGCTTGCTCTATGTCTTCCAAGGAAGATCAACTTGTAAGTTCTATTCTTTTTATTTAACTTTTTTAATTTAATAAATATTTTTATATTATTCCTTGGCTAATGGTTGTTTTTTAGATTGAAGCAAATGACGGTAATCCCGTTGATCGTCTCACTCTCATTAAGGAGGCTCACACTAACAAGAAGACGGGTCAAGTTCAAGATCCCGTGATCAGATCTGTCGTTGAGTTGGTGGAAACTCAAAAAGAAGCTCTTCTAGCTTCTCAGCCTCTCTCTGATGACGGCGATTCTACCGGAGCTTCAACCAACATGTTACGGTTGCAAATCAATGATATGGTTGAAAAGGTAATTGTAATTAATATATTTATTTTATAATGTAGTTTACTTACTAACTTTAAATATTTTGTAGGTGGTTCCTAAAAGGAAAGGAGGTCGTTTAGTTGGGTTGGCTCGTCGTTCTTCTTCGGGTCAGGGGTCTTCTTCGCAAGCTTCGTATACCGATCCCATGATTCTGAAGCAGCTACAGAACAAAGATGAACGGATTATGGCATTGGAGGAGCAGAACACCACTATCATTACTGAGCTGGAATCCCAAAAGAAGACCAACGTTCAGATAATGGAAAAGCTAGAACGCTTGTTTCCTATTGAGTTTTAAAACTTTGTGTTTTTTAAACTTTATGAATGTTTTTTTTTCTATTTACGTTTGTATGAATTTAAATTTTATAATATTATTAGTTTTAAATTTCAGATTTTTTTTATTTAGATTAATTTTAAATATAAAAATATTTAAAATTAAAAAAAAACAATAAAATGGTATAATCCGACGAACAGAGTTCGTCACAATATACCGACGAACTGGAGTCGTCGGAATATACTGACGACCTAAATTCTTCGGTATGTTGTGACGACTTCAGTTCGTCAGTATATTGTGACGACTCCAGTTCGTCGGTATATTGTGACGAACTTTGTTCGTCGGTATATTGTGACGACTCTAGTTCGTCGGTATATTGTGACGAACTCTGTTCGTCGGAGATAGTTATTCCGATGAATCCTACCCTCGGAAGGTGTTATCGGAGTTTCGTCAAAAGTTCGTCAGAATATGGTTTTTCGGTGTTCGTCAGAAAGTCGTCGGAAGGTCCGACGAAATTCTGACGAATTATTTTTTTCCGACGAACCGGTTCGTCAAAATATGACTATTCCGACGACTTTCTGACGATTTTGTCCGTCACTATCCACCTGTTTTCTTGTAGTGAATATTGTGATAAAAAAAACTAACTAACATTCATAAATTATTTTATAAAATATGAAAGAATAATTTATAAAAATAGATGATTGATTACCTAGTATTTAGGATGATAAATCAAAGGAGACATAGATGATGATCAACAATCAACATCTTGAGTCTACGAGAATATTTAGTTGACAAGAGCATAAAGGTCGAAGAGGAGCCATGTCTGATCACAAGTCAGAACAACAAAACCTCATCTGATGATATCATCTAAAAGACTTTGTATAAAAACTGGCGGAAAATGTTATACATTGTTTGGTATTATTGTTAATTAGTCTACTTTGGTAGAAATTTTCTCTTCCAAAGCCACCTGAAACTGATTAGGCACTATATCAAATTATTATGTGACAGATTTAGCAAGAGAACTGAAGTATTGGTAAAGATAATAAAAGAGGAAATATATTTGTTTTAACTATGAAACAAAACAAGGGTTACAAATTACACACAGAACTTAAAAGTGTTTACGTTCAGACCACCAAGACAAAGATACTAGTTATTAACAACTACATATACTAAACTGAGAATCTATATAGTTTGTGGGCCAAGTCATGATCAACATATCTGATTGAAACATCGTCATACTCTTCATTCGATTCTCTTCCTTATCTCTGGCTTTCTCTTTGATTCGTTTGATTTCCAGCTGAATCTTGTTGCTAGCCATCTCTTCTTTCTCCATATATACTCACCAACCTTTCTCCACTGATCTCACCGAACAGCACTTTCCTTCTCAGGTCTTGATTCCTGCTGTCTCCAATGTTGAAAAGAATGGATCTGTATTTTGCTTTTAGAGGACCCTCGAAAGAACCTAGTCTCTCAAACATAGCAGATTCAACAGACGTAGCAACACTCCAAGAATCGCAAGAAACCACTCTTTCTTGAATCTCAAGAACCTCGTTAGCTACTTTAGACAAGGACTTGTGCAGAATCTCACGCACTTTGTCTCGGTTAGAATCTGCATCCGTCCTCGAAACAATCTCCAAACGCTTCTTCTTGTTCACCACCACCGGTCGACTTTGACCTTGATCACGAGGACGTGGGCGTAGAGATACCTTAGCCAGAGAGAGTAAAGAAGCTTTGCCTCAGATTTGATTCTAGGGTTTTTGTGATCGACGAAAAGACGGTAACTTTTTTCCAATTTGAGGGTGTTTGCGATCCATGACCAACTCGCACGCAAGTGACTCGGGAGCTTCTCACAAACGAACCATTGCGTCGACACACCTCGAGACAGCCGGAGAATTCTTATTCTTACTGTCTTCTCTCGCAGCAGTTTTTGTGACTAGAGTTACTGCCTCAAACACTTCTAAGAACTCTTGCTTCTGCATCGTTCTCGACTTTTTCTCTCGACTCAACAAAAAAAAAAGTTTAGGGTTTGGAAGTAGCAACAGTGAAGAGTAACTGGAAAAATTGTTTAGAGAGTGTAATAATCTTTATAAAGAGAGAGGGAGAGAGAGAATCTAAAATCGAATCCTGATTGGATTGGATTTAATTTTATTTGTTGTGTTGTTTGTTACTTCACACTTGTTAATTACTTGCCACCTAAGCCTTTGCGAATTTACTTTTTCTCTTCTCGTTTTTATGACCGTTATATGTTTTTTATTTAATTACTTGGCATCATCTAAGCCTCCCCGAAGTTTCTATTTTTTTTTGCCCTTCTCGTTGTTTTTGACCGTTATATGGTTTTTTACTTTTTGTTCAATATCTGATACTTACTTACATACATACAACACCGCTCCCCAAGAAAATCTTATTTTTGTTTTCAGTATACAAAAAAAAAAAATCTCCTGAGAAATTTTCGTTTCGTTTCGTGCATAATGACGATGACGAAGACAACAAAGAAAACCTGCAAGTCCAAATTGTCGGTGAGAAAAGATACATTATACAAGGCACGAGCCAAGACTGTTCACAAGAAAGCATACGAACTCTCGAAGTTATGCGGTGTAGATGTTTGCATCATCTGTTACGACCGTGAAGGGAACCTCGTCGAGACTTCATCAGACGAAGCCAAGGTTAAAGCCATGGCCGAGCAATTCAGCAGGTTAAGCGAACAAGAATGGAACAAGAAAAGCACCAACCTCTCTCTGTTTCTTAACAAGAAGATGATGGAGGAAAAGAAAGCATCTCTCAAAGCAAACGACAACAAATTCTCCAAGATTATAGATAGAAAAATCAGCATTTTGGATTACGAAAAAGACGAGATGATGCAAAATATCAAAATTAAAAGATGACGACAATGTAAAACTGCTAAGACAATGTTCATCTATTGTCTGCAAAAAACATTGCATTCAAAGACAATATATTCTGCAAGCATAAGTATTTTTAATACAGTAAAAACCACAAATTATGAAAGAAGATATTACATAGACCTCAGATTAAGCCTTTGAAGTGAGTTTCAAAATTTAAAGAGGAACCCATAATCATTTCAACTTCTGGCTTTGAAAAACCTCTCCTTGATCGAGTTTAAATCTTTTACAACTTGACTTATTGCCAACCGGTTTGCAGGAGATTCTTCGCAGCACCTAAGCCCCACCTCCAAGACCATTGCCAAGCACTCAGCATGAGGGAAGCCGACTCTAAGACCGCTCTGAAGAATCGATCTGTCTGCAATGTCCAGTACTCGCCTAGACAATGCAGACTTGGTGTAACTGTGTAGTGTAACCATTCCTCCAAACAACTCATTGGTTGGCCTTTTCGCAGTGAACATTTCTAAAAGAAGAACTCCAAAGCTATACACATCACCATGTACTGATGGCTGTCCACCCAATCCATATTCTGCACCATAGTTCACATAAACAACAAGAACAAGATTGTAATGAACAAATAATATACTAATCTCAATCATAGAAACATTATAAATGTGTTATATATTTTTACCTGGTGCGGCATAGCCAATGGTTCCTCTAACACCAGCCGAGCTGAGATAGTTGAGAAAGGACTCCTGGTCGAACTTGAGGAGAATACGAGCGAGACCAAAGTCGCTTACATGGGAAGTTAGATCATTATCTAGAAGGATGTTGCTTGGTTTGAGATCACAATGAGCTATAGGTTCATGACAATAAACATGTAGATATTCCAAAACAGAGGCCACATCTATAGCAATGTCAAGTCTTTCAAGAAGTGTCAAGGTTCTTGAGGGCCTATGAATCTCTTCCACTTCCTCCGGGTGCAGCCACGTATCTAGGCTTCCATTAGGCATGAACTCATAGATGAGTGCTCTGAACTCGTTACCTTGGTAATCAATGCTAGAACAAGCTGTCAATAATTTCACAAGATTGCGATGTCTTATATCCTTCAAAGATTCACATTCTGCCATAAAGCTCTTCATTGCTCCACGTCTCTTCAGATTTAGAACTTTCACCGCAACGACATCCTTCTCTGCTGGGAGCAGTGCTTTAAACACAGTACCAAAACTGCCTGACCCAATACAATTGGTTGAAGAGAAGCCATTTGTCGCATTTCGAAGATCTCTGTAACTTATTTTCTCATGGAAAACCTCCAAAGTAGAAAGAGTTGTATTATCAGTCTGCTGCTTCTTCTTCCTTCTTTTATTGAACCAACATACCAAAAGTAAAACAATGAACACTAACGAAAGAAAACTTCTGCCTAGGCAAACCCCGATCACAACTTTTTTTGAAAGAGAGGAATGCTTCTTCATCATTGGTGGTTCATGCACACTGCATGGATCTAGTTTCAGTTCCTTGATGTCTCCACATAGATTTTTATTTCCATACACCAGAACTTTGGTAGAGTTTTGAAAGATCCCTTCTGTTGGCACCCTTCCTTTGAAGTTGTTATTGGATAGATTGAGATATTCCAACTTGGAAAACTTTGCAAGATACTGAGGTATACTTCCAGTGAGATGATTTTTTGACAAATCAACTCTTCTGACACCCACTAATCCTCTGATATCTGGAATGGTTCCAATGAAAGAATTTTCTTGTAGGTAAAGTTTTTCCATCGAGAGGCATTTTCCCAAGGTTTGTGGTAGTTGTCCTGATAAGTTAGTATTTGCAAGTGATAGTACAACAAGACTTTGTAATCTTTCAACGTCGTTTGGTAAATAACCAGTCAAGGAATTATATTCCATGGTTATGTGAACAAGGGATGAGAGTTGCATAATTTCCCGAGGTATGGTTCCATTCAACCTATTAGATCCAATATGTAAATATAGTAGGCGACTACAATTGCCAAGACTTGGTGGAATTGGTCCTTCAAAACTATTGCTGTTCAGATAAAGTGTTTCTAACTGAGTCATGTTTCCTATAGAAGATGGTATGACTCCTGACAGCCCATTTGAATCTAGACTTAAATAACCTAATTCCAAAAGCATCCCAAGAGAGTTTGGGAGTGTTCCTCTCACCATATTACCAAACAACTCAAGTTTACTTAGGTTTATGAGATTCCCAATGCCATGAGGAATGCTACCAGAAATGTGATTCATTTGAAGCTTCAACTCTGTGAGGCTTGTGGACAAATTTGCAATGGAGGTAGGCAAGCCACCTCCAAGCCTATTGAAACCCACACTTAAGATAAGTAACTGGGTGCAATTGGCCAAGGCATCAATAAAGTTAAGATCTCCATTTGATTGATTTCCCAGAGAATTATCATGAAGTGATAAGATTTCCAAATTTTGTAATTTTCCAAAGCTCGAAGGAATACTGCCTCTTAGATTGTTATACTCCATTGCCAATATTTCAAGAGTAGAGATATTGGAAAGTGTTGTTGGAATGGCTCCTGTGAAGTGGTTATTTCCAATATATAGATCTTGAAGATTTGGTAGTAGAGTGCCAATATCAGCCTTTAGTCTACCCGAAAAACCAGTACTAAAGATGTTTAACATCTCAAGTGAGGATAAATTGTAAATGGAGGGAGGAAAAATGCCTGAGAAGTTGTTCATCGATAAAGAAAGAAAAACCATTTGATTCAGCCTAGATAGCTCATTAGGAATTCCCCCTTCTAATTTGTTACCGGTAAAGCTAAGTTGCATGAGTGATGTCAAGTTTCCTAGAGATGCAGGGAGCTTTCCCTTCAAGTAGTTTCGACCAAGATATAAATAAAGAAGGTTTGTTAATGACCCTAGTTCCGAAGGAACACCTCCTCCAAGATGATTTGAATCTAACTCTAGGTCAAACAATCTAGAGCAATTAAATAGATTGTTTGGAATCTCTCCTTCAAGAATATTAAAGCTCATATTCAAGTACTCAAGTCTAAACAAGTTTCCCACTTCTTGAGGGATGGTTCCACCAAAAGAGTTGCTAGAGAGATCAAGTGATATGAGAAATGAAAGATTACCAATAGATGGTGATATCACTCCGCCTAATTGCAATCCTCCAAGGTCCAGCTGAGTAACTCTTTTGTGTTTCTGGCCACAAGTAACCTTGTTCCAGTTGCAGAGAGGGTTTGAATGATTCCATGAGGACAAGAACACTCTTTTATCTTCAGAAACTTGAGACTTGAACTCCAACAGTGCTTGCCTATCAGTTTCATCAGTAAACCCATATGCTTCATGTAGTATGAGAGCATTGAAAGAAAGTAAAATAAACAATCTCATGATTCTCCAATTTTCTTATTTTTTTTTTTTTGCTTAAGTATGTTGGTGCTTCTAATATTTTGCTGGAAAGTAATAATATAAAGGACGAAGCAAATGCAAGATGCATGTACCTTGTGGTGGTGTTACACTGTAGGTTAAAGAAAAATAGAGAGAACAAATTGGCTCACAACCACACATAGTGGTAGGCTCCAAAATGGCGTGGATTCTTACCGTGTGGACTCTTGCCATCTAACTCAATAAGTCTTTAGGACTTTTGTGTAGAGATCATGTGGTGGACAATTACTTCAAGACACACAGTCATCATTTTTCTGAGAACATAGCATTCCTTCTTAATATTCAGCCACCATAAATGGTATAAGCTTTTCACTGGATGCAAACTTTGTAGAGGAAATCGATAAGTAAAACACTTCAACCTCTGGTTATAAACCGCCGTTTGATTTGTACAAATAGGTCAGAAACAATAAGCTTGAGCAAAGGTTGTTCACATTACTAGATTAGTCTTCCAAGTAAATCAGATGGACAAAGGTAGAGATGATTTGTAACAACACTTTGTAATCCAGTAGTTTTACTCACATATTCAGGTAGACCAACTATAGAAATATATACAAGAAAGGTCGAAGCTAAAATTTATTAAAAAAAAAAAGAAGATTTGACAGCTCAGGAAGAAACTCTTTACAAAGTTTTATTGCAAACAGAAAAGAAAAAAAACAGAGAGTCCAACCGTTCCTGAAAGAATGAACACTCTTTTGCATAACTTTTATTTTCCACCTCACAATTCTCTAAATTACAAAACATCCCCAAAAAATCCCACAAGATTATTATCTTTCACAAACGCTCGCCTTGGCATCAACAACACTCGAATCTCTTGCTGCAACAATTTGAGAATGGATTCGTCTGAGAATACTTCAGGTTCCTAACATATCAGATTTCGATTCCATTTTGTCAAAAGATTCTGACTTTGTTCGTTTTCTTTCTTTGGCAGCCTGTGAACAGCAAAAGATCGTAATCCCAAACAGCCACAACGAGAAGCTTGTTGGTCTGCTTCACGAAACTGGATCAAAAGAAGTGGTGATCTTGTGCCATGGATTTCGATCGAGCAAGGTTAGTGTGTGATTTATACTGAATCTTGATTGTAAGTTAGTATGAATGTTGAAACCAAAGCCTTGTCAAATAGATAGTAAATTTTCTGAAATGTTTATATCTTTGAACATGGGAGGGTGTGTGGTTGACTTACATAGAGAGATTAAATTGTATTTGGCCTATGGATATATCTGCAGAATAACCGAATCATGAAGAATGTGGCTGGTGCTATTGAGAAAGAAGGGATCAGTGCTTTCCGTTTTGATTTCTCTGGGAATGGGTATATATGTTTATATTGCAAACTTGCTTTTATCATTGGTGAAGGAATGAATTTATGGGTTTTGGTTTCATTTTTTTGGGGATGTGGTTTGCAGAGAGAGTGAAGGCAGTTTCTGTTATGGTTACTATAACCATGAAGCTGATGATCTACGTTCTGTTATCCAACACTTCTCTGGCATGGACCGTGTGGTTCCTGTCATTCTCGGGCACAGTAAAGGTAACTAAGACGGTACGGTCTTCTTCTACCTTGAGCAATGGTGTATGACAGGAATTACTCAACTTATTTTGATGTATTAGGAGGTGATGTGGTCCTCCTTTATGCCTCCAAGTATCATGATATCCCTAATGTAATCAATATCTCGGGACGTTATGATCTGAAGGAAGGCATAAGAGAGCGTCTTGGGGAAGACTTTTTGGAAAGAATTAAGGAACAAGGATTCATTGATGTTAAAAGTGGTATTTGTTATATCTCTATGCTTTGTCTCAGATCAAAACTCGGTAGTGTTTATGTCAAACGTGGTTTGTGTGTTTTACAGGAGAATCTGGTTACCGTGTTACCAAAGAGAGCTTAATGGATAGGTTGAGCACTGATATTCATGACGCTTGCCTCAAGATTGATAAAGAATGTAGAGTCTTGACGGTTCATGGATCGGATGACGAGGTAATACCAGTGTCAGATGCCAAGGAGTTTGCGAAGATCATACAGAATCACAAGCTGGAGATTGTGGAAGGAGCAGATCATGGTTATACGAATCATCAAAGTCAGTTGGTTTCAACTGTTATGGAGTTCATCAAGACAGTCATTGTGAAGAACAAGAACATCTAAGTCTTTTTATTTATTCCTTTGAGAAATGTTGAGATACACATTACATACTTCACATTTGTGTCTGCAAATAAAGGTGAAACATTGATTGAGTTGGTAAAAAGCATAAGTATGTTTAACAGAGAACCAAATCACAAGTTGTGAAAGACATATGACATTAAAGCCGCTTTTCAAAGTAAGTGGAGGAAAGCATAAACACTTTCAACGTCTCACTGTTCTTTTAACCTCACACTTTTAACTTAATTTGGACAAAAAGGCAAACACACTTTGAGGAATGGATACGTCTGAGGGAACTTCAGGTATGTAGCAAATGTGCCTCCTCAGATCTATTTGCCGAAAGTTTCTGTCTTGTAAGATTCCTGTTTTTCTTCAGCTTGTGCACAACAACAACAGAGGATCGAGATCCTGAACAGCCACAACGAGAAGCTGATTGGTCTGCTTCACGAAACAGGATCAAGAGAAGTTGTGGTGTTATGCCATGGATTTCGATCCAACAAGGTTAGTAAGTAATGATTTACCCCAAATTCGAATCACAGCTGATATCCGAGACTTACTTCAGTTCCGAACTATTAGTTTTGTGTGTGTTTGAACATACTTGGGTGAATCTTGATTGGAATATATATGAATCTTGACGACACACCTCAAACTATATATATGTTGAACTAGTAAAGCCAAAAAAGACTCTTCAGAGCTTTTTGCTTTATTACAGTTGGATAGTAAGACTTCAAGGGGTTTACTTGTTTCTGCTGATTCCATCGTTTCATCTTTCTTGTAAATGATTTGAAGGAACTCAATAACTGAAAATCTTACCACAGTTTCCTCTTCTTTTTTTTTTGATAACTGGTTCTGAAAGGAACTTCATTGACAGCTAGTTACAAACTTAGACGCCTCCTCATGATGGTTTGGATAGGGCTTATGTATGAGTTAACTTGTCCTTGGCCTTTTGAAAACTTTGCAGAATGACACAGTCATGAAGAGTGTGGCTGCTGCTATTGAGAAAGAAGGAATCAGCGCTTTCCGTTTTGATTTCTCTGGAAATGGGTAATACATGTTTCTCCTTCTTTCTTTCTTGCCTCGTGTCCCTGATTGGTGAATTTGGATTTTCTTTATTTGATTTTTTGGAGATGCTTCCATTTTTTTGCAGAGAGAGTGAAGGCAGTTTCTATTTTGGTAACTACAACCATGAAGCTGATGATCTTCGTTCTGTCATCCAACAATTCTCTAACATGGACCGTGTGGTTCCCATCATTCTTGGACACAGTAAAGGTAACTAAAACCGTTCCATCTTCTTCCTTGATACTCAACTTATTTTTGACAGCTCCACTTTTAACGCATAGCTGGTGATGTGGTCCTCCTCTATGCGTCCAAGTATCACGATATACCCAATGTAATCAATCTCTCGGGTCGTTATAATCTCAAAAAAGGGATAGCAGAGCGTCTTGGGGAAGATTTTCTGGAAAGAATTAAGGCTCAAGGGTTCATCGATGTTAAAGATGGTATTGTTTTAGATATTTGGTTTTGTTACATTTGTCTCTGATAACAAAAGAAAAAAATCTAGCGTCTCTGTCATTGTGTTGGTGTTTTACAGGAAGATCAGAGTTCCGTGTTACCGAAGAGAGCTTAATGGAGAGGTGGAACACTGATATGCATGAAGCTTGCCTCAAGATTGACAAAGATTGTAGAGTCTTAACGGTTCATGGATCAGAGGATGAGGTGATACCAGTGTCAGATGCCAAGGAGTTTGCCAAGATCATACCCAACCACAAGCTGGAGATTGTGGAAGGAGCAGATCATTGTTACACCAAACATCAAAGTGAGTTGGTTTCAACAGCTATCGAGTTCATAAAGACGGTCATAGTGAAGAACAACTAGTTCCTGTGACCCTGGCTCAGCTGAATTGTTGAGCCTTCCAGAGAGTGTCAAGGTTCTTGAGGGACTATGAATCTCATCTACTTCTTCTGGCTGCAGCCACCAATATATATATATATATATCCAAATTTCCATTTCTCATTAAAACATTTAGCAGCTTTGTATTCACTTCCTTGGAATTTTATAGTTGAGCAAACACTCAAAGTGTATTACGAGATTACCATGCCTTATCTCTTTTAAAGTTTCACAAAGAAGTATCAAAGTTTCTTTTGGCGTCAACGTTGACACTTTACTCGCACTTTGGTCGTAGGCCGGTAAGTTTCCCTGAGACTGACATGGCTAGTCCAACGCTCAATATTTCTGGAAGATGAAAGAAACAAAACTCTAATCTGTCCAAAAGAAAAGTGGTGATTCCATTAAGTAGCATAAGAGCAATGAAAGCAAGTAAAGGAAACTGATTCACGTTCCTCATTTCGGCAGGAAAACATAATTCAGTGTTCAAAAATAAAATTAGTAAGCATTTATTTTAAAGTTCCTTGTATTATTTATCTTATTTACATGTAAAAATTGATATCATTTTTATGAATTTATCTGGGTAGGATTCTAAACTCCAATATATTATAAATTCTGTTTTTAATAATGTGATTATGGAAAACTACAGCCTTCATTCAGATGACTCAATGTGTTCGAATGGAAGAACGGGACGAGTATAATTCTCTCGCACTTACAGTTTTCATGTACTGTTTTTACCATTCATCTTTTAATGTTTATAAAAGCAGTTCAAGCGGTGGATCTGCATGCAGATCTCACCCGCTAACATTTGATGTGTTGATCTGTTTTTTTCACTAATAAATGATTTTGCTACAAACACTAACTTTAAATATATTTATTAATTTTATAAATAATGTATAATAATTAGTTCAAACAATATACAGTATAACCTCTTTAAATTAATAATCTATAAATTAATATCTCTATAAATTAATATAATTTCATAGCCCCAAATTGAATTTTGGTTCAACTAATATCTCGATAAATTAATAATCTCTATAAATTAATAAAATTTGTAGTTTTGGTGTAGTCCCAATATTATTAATTTATAGATGTTTCACTGTAGTTCATACTAAATATTATTTGTGTCAATTTTAAATTATAAACATTTTATTTTTAAAATTATAAATATGACATCTAGTTACAGACAAAACACAATATTTTTCAACAAAAAGATATAAATATTTCTATATAAATATCAACAAATAGTTTAATATTAGTAACATGCCGGTTCTTCAGAGATAATTTTGATCAACTAAAACGAAGATAAAAGAAGCACAAGCATCTTATCAAAAAATCAATCAATATTTCGGCTGATCTTACAACATCTAAAATATTTATTTTGATATTTTGGTATAATCTTTTATTGTTTGAATATATGATCTATAGTTTTAAACTGATTTTGTCATTCATAATTTATAATAAATTTGTTTGATTTGCATCTATCTTGCATGATCCGCTTGATCTACACTTGTTCTATTTGATCTGCATTTGTTCTGCATAATTCGCTTGATCTACACTTATCCTATTTGATCTGTACTTGTCCTACTTGATCTGCATGATCCGTTTGATCTGTTTTTACCATTCGAAGAAGCATAAATATAGTTGAGCTTTGAGTGACACCAAATTTTAACATTTATGATGCATGATATACAAATATAAACCAATAAGAAGAGATTTTAAAACATAGTTTAGAATCATTAATTGAATGATATATGAGATTTTAATTGAATTTAAACTAATTTAAAATCATGACACCCCTTAAAACGACAACTGAATATTAAATTTACTTTTTAAGTTTTAACATTGCGGCTTTCCTTTTGTCGTTCTTAAAATTACTTAAGGATGCGATAAACATCCTTTTTTAATTAGGTTTAGTTTTTTTTTGGCTATGATAGTATATATACATAGGTGCGTTATTTTAACTTTTTTGTACGGCACCTTTGATTTGCTTTTGATCTAATAACATTCAAATCTCGTCGACCAAAGCCAAACTAGTTGACAATGGATTCGTCTGAAGGAAGTTCTTCTTGTGCACAACAACAAGAGAAGATTGAGATTCAGAACAGCCACAACGAGAAGCTCGTTGGTCTGCTTCACGAAACTGGTTCAAGAGAAGTCGTTGTCTTGTGCCACGGATTCAAATCTGACAAGAACAACACAATCCTCAAGAATGTGGCTGCTGCTCTAGAGAAAGAAGGGATCAGCGCTTTCGTTTCGATTTCTCTGGTAACGGAGAGAGTGAAGGCGGTTTCAATTACGGTAACTACAATTACGAAGCTGATGACTTACACTCTGTCATCCAACACTTCTCTACCACGAACCTTGTCGTTACCACCATTATTGGACACAGTAGAGGAGGTAACGTGGTGCTCCTCTACGCCTCCAAGTATGGTAATATCCGCAATGTGATCAATATATCTGGACGTTATGATCTGAGAAAGGGCATACGTCTTGGAGATGGTTATCTCGAAAGAATCAAGGAACAAGGATTCATCGATGCTAAAGAGGGAAAATCAGAGTTCCGTGTCACCCAAGAGAGCTTAATGGAGAGGTTAAACACGGATATGCATGACGCTTGCCTCAAGATTGAGAAAGAAGTTAGAGTCTTGACTGTTCATGGATCAGGTGATAAGGTAGTATCAGTGGGAGATGCCGAGGAGTTTGGAAAGATCATACCCAACCACAAGCTCGAGATTTTGAAAAATGCTGATCATGGTTATACCAAGCACCAAAGCCTACTGGTGTCAACTGTTATGGAGTTCATTAAGGCTGTCCTAGTGAAGTAGTTGTCTTTTTCTTGATTTCAGATTGCTGGGATGTATCGTTCAATATGTTACATCCAAGTCTTGCGTGTTCATTTAATCAAAAATCATTTACTTGCTGTTCTCATCATCAATTTGGAGATATTATTAGCGGAAAGTTAATCATAATAACAAAATAAGACTATACATAGCGCCATGAGAGCTCTCTGTCAAGATTTCGGAGCATAGAAATAAAATATTTAACAGATTCAGAGAACATAAACATACGAGTAAAATGTAAACATGAGAAGAGGAAGAAGCATAAGTGGGTGGAAAGTTCTTACAACCAAGTTCAGTTTTGTTGTCTTAATAGTCTTACCAGAGAATAATTGCCGGGAAAGATCAGACTGGCGTTGGGTTGGATACTGGCGGCTGCTCTGGCACTACAGCAAAGTGAAGTCCCCTGCGTTGAGGCACACCACCGTGTATCATGAAGGCAACTTCCGCGGCAGCTAGCGCAGCTGCTTCCTGATAATATCATCAGAAACAAAAGTGTCTTGTCTGTTAGATTGAGCATTTTTTTTTTTAACAATTTTAACAGAGCATTTTTACAAGTTCATACCTGTCTTTGCCTCCTGCGCTGAAGAATTCCGATGGCCCATGCCATGATGTAACATGGGAGGAGAAAACCAGCAGCACGAAGAAGGAAAAGCTGTTTAAACCAGAGAGAACAAAAAGAATTAAACAAACGTTAACAAAGAAGTAAATTCACAAAACGGTATGAAGTAAAAGATATTCATCATACAGAGAAGAAGGCAGTAGGATCGTCCTCGTCATCTGGGTTAGTTGTGAGGTTTAGCGCATCACGTAACAGCAAAAGTGCCATCAGCTGCCATAACAGATGGAGGAACACAGGCATCAGTATCGCGTTACAGTTAAAAACACCAACAAGAGAAGTGAGAGGGATTACGATGAGAGCAGCGGAGCGACAGAAGGCAGCTCCACTTGAGTTAGACTCGGAGTACTCGTCATAGTCAGCTTCCAAGAAATGGCGTTCTGCTGCAGCCATTGCTAGAATGCGCGGGTCGCTCAAGTCCAAGTGAACTCCATTCTCCCAATCGTCACTACATGATATGCGTTACAAAATCACAGAAACAAGTCAAGAAAATAATAAAAATAAATAAAATGCAGCAAGAAAATCTATATATCTCTCATGATTTTACCAATTAAACAAACCACAATTCAGAATCTCACATGCATAGATAATGCTGGTTATCAATATCAATCAAGGCATACAAACAAGGTTACATCTTAAATTCTCCATGCCATAGTCAGAACCATGCCAAAGTCAGATTTAACTGAATGTATAAACTTAAGAAAAATAGGAGAGGAACACATGTTTGTTGTTTATAATGTTGATAGGTAAAATCCTAAAGTCATGCTTCCCTTTGTTTAAGCAGACCATAGACTACCGAAATATCATCTTGTTGTTTAAGACAGTAACTCAGCCAGAAACATAGATTAGGAAAACTTACCCAATGTGAATAATAGTTTCGTCAGGAGGAGGAGGTGGAGGTGCTGTATATCCAGATTGATAAGGCTGCTCATAAGCAAAAAAAAGGTACATTTACAAGTGGTAATAGGCATTCTGTTGTAGTTAAGCACTTGAGCAGCTATAACAAGATGGAACCATTGTGAACTAACACAGAAAGGGGCCAAAACGTATAAAATCAAGACCTCAAAATTCAGGAACATAGAAACTACAGGAGTATTTACAGAAATGAATAAGTGGATTTACTTCATTGCTTCATCAAAGGGTAATATGAAATTTGCATTTTGTGGTACCTTTAAAAACCTATCAACTTGGATTGACACAAAGATATTTAGCAAACTGATTCATTTCATTTTCATCACCCAAAAGTTAAAAATCTAATTTGCAGTTGTTGCATCTTAAAATATATGATCAGTATACCAACAAAAAAAGCATTTAGCAGAGTATTGATTTACCTGGTGGCATATCTCGCAGATTATGTCACCTTTCTCATTACACCAACGCTGAACACACTTGCGGTGGGCATACTGCGTAATAATTATGAAAGTCAAGAAACAAAATGGATTTAATAATTAAAAAAAAAATCACATTGATTTTATTTACCTTCACACTGCCATTGCAAGCACAAGGAGCCTCCAAGTTATTAATGGTATCTTCCTCCTGGCAAATACGGCACTCAACAGATTGGAGAAGCGGTTCCTCTTCTGCAACAACGGCATAGTACTTCCTTGCATCTTCAGCTTCATCCACAGACGGTGAAGAAGAAGAAGCCACATCTTTGCCTTGAGGACGAGAACTTTCTCCAGAGGAATCAGAACCCTTTTCTGACTCCAAGGTCTCAGCAGTTATGAGACGATCCGTACATAAACTCAAATGATCCGACATCACACCAATAATTTGTTGATCTGTTACAAGAACCTCCAATTACTTTAATAATCAAAAGCATCCTTTAACAAAGAACATCGCTAGAAATCCAATTCAATCAAAAACAATTCAATCTCCAGAATGAAACCCTAATATTCTACAAATGCACAATCGGATCGCAGAAAACAAAATCGAACAACAGAAGAGATATAACAATCGAGAGAGAAAAAAAACATTACCTAGAAATGATTCAGGTAAAAGAAAGATCTTTCGAAATCGGGAAGCTTTGAGCTCAAATGAAACTCTTAAACTTCGTGTTGTTTTTTTGTTTCCGAGTTCGGTCTGAGAAAAAAAAGTCAGAATCAATGTATATATTATGGGAGCGCGTGTGTATAAATATCTCATACGTGTGTATAATAGGATAGAGGTTCGGTATTTACGATACGGAGCTTTGGAGTTTCGTATGTGGTGACGTCTGTTAAACGGCTAGTTAAGAAAAGCGCCTCCTAATTTCCCATCTCTCGTCAATTTAACCAAACGGTTACGGAAGTCACTGGGTTGAAAATGTTTACATTTCATGTTGCTATTCATTTATTTATGGTTTAGTCACCGGAGTCAGAGGAATTAACTAATTGGTCAATTTAGTGGCTTAAAATAATTATGTGACATCAAATAAATAATTTTTAATAAATTGTTTTTCAATAGAGTAGGCAAATTGGACCCAAGTTGTATAGCTTTTTTAATGAATGAGTTGCATATTCTAGAGGTTCCCTGCTTTCTTACTGCAAACTTGTTTGACTTTGACCTTTTCCACTATGGCAGATTTGGCGACTTAATTAATTTATCGCTTGAATGATTGGAGCATTCGGATTCAGTCTAAAGAAAATCGAGATTATTATGTTAAATTGAGATCGCTTACCATTTTAGCGTCACAGCTCCATTTAAGCTTAAACTACACTCCCTATCTATTTTAAATTTAAACTAGATCTCAACCCGCGCAACCGCGCGGGTATTTGTTTTCATTTATTTTTATATAAATCTTTTGTTTTTACTTCTAAATTGGTATATAGTATATAAGGTGTGTATATCGAAAATGATATATTATATAAGGTATGTATATCGAAAATGATGATTAATTATTATATAGTATAGATTAGTTATTGTTAGAAAATGATATTTTTGTCATTTTTAAAATAAACTATATAATTTTTAAAGTTAACATCGAAAATATATAACTAATTAACTTATACTATTAGAATATTAAATTATATAAACTTAATTTAAACATGTATTTTATTATACTATCTATAAATTCAATGGATTATCTAATTTTTATTAGCCCAATAAAAATTTATAGTAAGCCCAATAAATGTTATTAGTGAATCTAATGAATGTTATTAATGATTAAATATATAATGTGACCAACTCTAGTAGATAGTCCATTTTATAAAAAATCACACATGAATGAGAAGTCATGACTTCTCTTTTAATATAATAGATGAATGAATAATGTTTTAGATTTTACTCTATATTTAAGAAATATCCCTTTATTAATAAAGGAGAAGCAATTTTAAAAAGAAACCTTCAATATGTAATATATTTACAAGCATGTCATTTGCTGATGTGTCGTCATGATAGTTCTTCTTAGCTCATTTTTAAAAATGTCCATTCATATCTAGAGTATTTACTTAGAATGCCATTGGTATGATTTTAAATACAAAACTGCAGTTACACTTATATAAACCTGCATAATATATGGATTTATTAGAACTCCCGTGTGCTCTTTCTGCCTTTCATACTTGCTTTTAAACCTATATTCCATTATCGAACTTGAAGAAATATTTTTACCATGATATCAGTTCAAAGACCAACACTTATAACAACATTGTTTCTTTCAGCTTTAACAGCTGCGCAACATTATATAATCTGCAGAATCAGATATGAACTGGAAATCAAATGCAATATCAAACGACTGTAGAACAATATAAGTTATGAATAACAATCTGAAAAGACATGACATCAGCTAAATTTATTATAAGAAAAGTTATGAAGGTCAGCCATACAATCATAACGAAGTGTATTCTCTAATCTAGCATGGCATTTCTAATAATAGAATCAAGTAACTTGCAAATATATCCTCCTCATATACGATCTCCTGTGTAATATATTATACTAAGACTCATGTTTTAAATTTACATCAAAGTTCAAGTACATATTGATGAAACTCATTCCTGATCATTGCAATATTAACTTTCATAAAAAAGTTTGTTTTCATTAATGTTTCTCTATTTCTAAATTCATGTCGACTAATATAATATATTTCTAAATTCTTATTGATTATAGTTACCGGACTAAATGCACTCGGTCAAACATTTAGTATCTTTAGATATTAATTGCATATTTGAAATGGAAAATCAGATATCGGGGTTACCAATAATAGCTTAGTGATTATGTTTACAATTATTTTTGAAGTTTTTAGTCTGTAATTACTATTGGAATAAAATAAGTCTTCTTTGATATATTGTAATACATTTAATATTATTCCCCTAGTATTAATACATCAATATGCGACTTTGTACTTATTTTTTTCACAACTGGGGCTCAGGTATTTTTGAATTCTATACATATGCAAGTGGAGTTATTATAACTCAAAGATTCATAATAGGTGGAGTGACTATTTTCATGTGTTCAGTCACAGTAGTTATAAAACTGGTTACAAAAAAATTATGTTTACTTTCTAATTTCATTTTATGTATTTTTGTTTACCATTCTTTTACATATTAAAACAAGCAAATTTTACAAATTTAAAACATAACTTTTATATATGACTTCACAATTGTTAAATTAGGTCATACAAAAAAATCTATACATTTAATATTTTAATTAGCCATTAAAATATTTTTATATTACTTCACTCCGCGCAAGGCGCGGGTATCCACCTAGTCTATACTATTAAAGCAGGATCCTATCTATTTCCCCCCCTATATTACCCTTTTATTTACAATATATGCCACTGCTTTTCCATACACTTCCCCTTGCCCATTAAGGGCATTTCTGTTATTTATACATTGCTCGAATTCTGCCTATTCTTCTGGCTCTTTGTTATTAATATTACTTTCCCACACGTACATAACAACATTTCATACACAAAAAACAATTCATATATCAGTCATGTATCGTTTTTCCAAAACATTAACTATAGTTTATTTAAATCTATACCACCAACATACCTAAACTCATATATACTATAAACTTTAAACGAAACCCACACATTGATGGTTTTGGTCGCAACCTAACTCTAAACCCTTTGAATCAACCCCTAAACCCCAAACTATGTATATCAATAACCAAATATTATAATTTTCGCATAAATGCTACCAGCAATATTTTTTGGGGTACTCTTATTCTTAGTATATTCTAAAATTCAAATAATAATAATAAGGAAATATTTAAAATTAGTTATTTAAATAGTTTGTGACTCATAACTCTTACATACTTAATTTTGAGACATTCCAATGGTTTATTCTACTAATTTTTTCGAGCTGTTAGCAATATTTGATTTTATGCATAAATTAAAATCTAAAGTTATAGATACTGGTAAAATTCGATTCAAATGTTTAATTATAAATTTATTAAGAGCTGTTAGTTATGGTTGTTGATAATATCCACAACTTATATTTAAAATCATTGAAAATGGTTTAAATCGTTTAGCTTGGCCATAAAGAATACCTAATAACTACTCAATAAAATTTGCAACAGTAAATTGTAGATTTACCAACAATATCTGTACCAACTAAAAATATAATTATTCATAAGATATGTAAATATTCTCCATGAGTATATACAATAATTAATTCGCGAATCCTATCTAATTGTTTAGCTTGGCCATGAAGCATATTAATACGTCCGGATTCAGTCCATTGGATATTTAGAGTAGATTTTTTTTTTCCGAATTGTACATATATGTAAAATCTTATCTTTAAATTTAAATAGATTTGCTTGATCACTACTCTTTTTCCAAAACTGAAATTTATAGCAGTAATAAATTAGATCTTCTGTTAATTAACAGTAATAAAATCTTTTTCTTGCCAATCAAGGATACGTATAGTAACAAAAAACTCTTATTCTCGATTTATATATGTAAAATCTTAACTAACAATATATCTTTAGATATATTGTTTGATCATTACTCTAAATCTTTTCCATAACTGAAAACGAATATGCTATATTCCATTTTATCCGACGGTTTGAGACCATCGTTTAACCTAATACTAAATATTAGTATATATAGATCTTTAGAGTATGTCAGTTTTCTCACATTGTCCTCCTCACAGCTACAATTTTCAAAACAACGCAAAAATGTCTTCCATAATGAAAGTAACTTCTTTGAAGGATGTGAAACCCTTCAAAAGTGGTTGGAAAGTGCATGTGAAAGTATTGCACAGTTGGAAGCAATACAACGTAGTGCACGGAGACAGCCTTGAGGTTGTGCTATCCGATGAGCATGTGAGTTTTTTAAATATACGTCTTTTGTTTATAGTATAGATTCAATGTTTATAGCTTTGAGTTGTGATCTCTAACAGTTTATTATTCAATGTTTATACTAGGGGAATAAAATCCATGCTTCTTGCAAGAAAACTTACATGGAGAGTAAAGGACGCCTTCTTCCTGTTGGAGCATGGAGACAGATTCAGAATTTCAGCCTCAGTGGCGCAACTGGATCCTATCGAGCAACTGATCATTCCTACAAGATGAGTATCCTTCAGAATACAACAATCACGAGGTCTTCTGAAGTGAATGAAGATATGTTCTTAAGTTTGGTGGACTTTCAGTCCATTTTGAGTGGATCACTCAACACAAGTTTTCTCATTGGTAATTTAAAAATCAAATTTTTTTTATTATATTTAACAATAACATGTAACTCTAATTCTTTAAAATTTTTTTGCAGATGTGATTGGTCAGGTTGTCGACTTGGGAGAGCTTGAAACAATCCAAGTCGCAGGGAAACCGAGAAGGAAAGTGGAGTTTACACTCCGTGACATCAAGTAAGTTTTTCTCAACTCAAAGCTTATTATCTTGAAGTTCATAGTCATTTAATTCGAATTCTACTCTCCATAATAGTTACTCTCGTGTTCCCTGTTGCCTCTGGGGAAAATTCGCTGAGATCCTATATGAGGGTTGCAGTAAAGACGAAGAAGGAAAACCCATATGTCTGATCAGGTTTGCCAAGATCGGGAGATTTAGAGGTATTTTATTCATCTATTATGTTTTGGTTGGATGTTAGACGAAGGATAATATACTCACTATCTTGAGATTTTTTCAGGTGAACTCCAAATCACCAATGCATTTGAGGCATCACAGCTTTTTCTTAATCCTGAGATTCCAGAGACTGCTGCCTTCAAACAAATGTTGTGTTATCATTCATCATAAATATTCTCTGTTCTGTAGAGTGTCACGTATTCAACCTAATGAAACTGATTTCATTATGTTGTTTTGACCCATTTTTAGGTTTGGGGATGAGGACAAAACCCTCGCTGTCTGGGAGTCTCATGATGAGAAACTTGAGTTGGATGAGATGAAAACTATCCAAGACAAGCGTGATAAAAATGGTTACTCTTTCCAAGAAGAACCATTCGTGAACTACTTGATTCAACTCAGGTACATGACTTGATTTACTTTCAAATAAGCTCGGTTATATTCACTGACAATTCAAGTGGTTATCAGGTTGAAAAGTGCTTGGTCACATGCACTGTCTATGAAATTGACTCCGACTGGGGTTGGTATTATTTTGGTTGTTGCATATGCAACAAAAAGGTGGTGAAAGTGGGCACTTTAGTGAAAAATCTAAATGGTAAAGAGATAACTACTCATATCCGGTGGTGTGAGGTGTGTAAAGAGAATGTCTCCAATGTGTCGCCAAGGTAAGTCTTTTTGTTACTTTTGGTAACTCATTAAAGAATAAAGCGTTAATAATTACACTCTCATTTACTGTTTGTAGGTTTAAGGTGCATTTGATGGTTAAGGATGATACAGGGGAAGCAAAATTGATGCTTCTTGACTTGGTTGCCAAAGGAATGATTGTTGAATCAGCAACAAAGCTTCTGAATGGATCATTCGATGAGGTATATGCTTAAATGCACCTTTTTATCACTAACGCATTTTGTTACAAATATCACTAACGATTATTTTTTGTGATTTAGCTTGAGGATCCTACAGACATGCCTGACGCCATCGTTGCTGTTGTTGGAAAGACATTCACATTTGGGATCTCTGTGGAAAAAGAGCATGTATCTTATGGATCGGAGCTCTACAAGGTTGGGAAAATCTACAAAGACAGAATGGTGGCTCTAACTGATTCAATCAGTCTAGAGAACTCTCAATCTGATCCGGTTTTGGCTCTTACAAGTGGTGAAGAGGTAGTCTAAATTTGTCTGTTATTTATCTAATGTAGATGATAGTAACTGGTAGTTAATTTTATAGATAACAAGGCTTACTATAATGATTTTGTTTTGTTACATATTTTAGAGCTCTGTTAATCTCACTCCAAAACACACTGATGGAATGTCCACACCATCCACAAAGCGAAAGGAAACATGGACTGAAGGAGAAGAAGATTTAACTTCGACATCCAAGAAACCGTGCCCAAAAACTATCAAGGTGGAGAAGATAAATGATTGGGAGGCTGAAACAAGCAAGGACAACTAAGACGGATTCTGATGGTTCTACGTAGTTTTTTTTGGTTTTATGTTTTTATTGAGTTCTTCTGAAGCAATTTATTTTTAGGTTTTTCTTAATTATTGTTTGGCTTTTTTTTTAAATTTATGTCATTGTTTTCTTTGAACTATTTATAATAAAGTATGCTTCAGATTATATTTTATTCTATATTTGTGTTTGGTTGATAATAGTTATCTGAATCTGTTTGCTACCTAATAGTTAAGTTTATTGCATAAGCATTTTCTATTATTTACTTCAATTATGTACTAAAGTCATATTCATCAGATACTTGGTAATAATCAGAATGAACTTACTTGACCATCAAGTTTGATATATGCAGGAAGATGTTTGCTCGATATTCCATACTCTCATGTTTCCTTTTCATCGACAGATTTCTTGCTCTTTAATTAAAGTCTTTTGTTAACCTGCCAGTTTATTTATAAATGTTAGCATATATACGATATAAAGATTTCTATATGCAGCACATAAAAAAGTTTATATATATAATTTTGCAGATTTATAAGCATATTTATTACTTAACAAATTGCACACAAAATCAATTTCATTATTAAAGAATATCTGTTGCCTATAAAATGGTATAACTAAACTAATCTTTTATTGGTTCTCAGCTGACAACACATAGAGCTGTAGCCTTATTTCTTAAGAATTATCGAAAATATAGCTATGACTCTATATTATTATATTCAAAAAGCAAGATCATTTTTATTGGTTCTCAGCTGACAACACATAGAGCTGCAGCCTTATTTCTTAACAATTATCGAAAATATAGCTATGACTCTATATTATTATATTCAAAAAGCAAGATCATTTTTATTGGTTCTGAGCTGACAACACATAGAGCTGCAGCCTTATTTCTTTTTCAGATGTATGACAACACCTTCCACAACAGTGCTATGTTGTGGTTTCAAAATATTCTTGCATTCTCACAGCCTTAACCTGCATAAGGCTCACCTTTATTAAAGCCATCAAGAATCTAAGGCCTTTGCATTATGAAGAAAATTTAGAGTGAGAAATAAGCACCCCAAAAAAACACACTAAGAGAGAGGCCTTAATAAGATGGCATCAGATGAAGAGAGAGTTGCCTCCAACGAAGACCACCACTCGAACACATCTCCCATCACCTATTTCTGAAACTTGAACCTGAGTTATTTTGTTTCGGAACCACGTCAAATGCTCAGCAACCACTTCAAGTTGAAGGATATCTGCTTAGAGAATGGGAACACTGAGGCTCACTATATCGAGGGTATTCTAAAATACTTTATCCACGACGATAAACATTTAGGGTTACGCCATCTACGCATATCAGCCAAGGCGGATTATGCAGATGGTATCTATCTCTACGGTGTGTTACTAAGTGCAAGAGGTCACTATCTAAAAGGTCTAAAGTATTTGGATATGCTAAAATGGGAAGAAAATCTTTCAACCTCAAATCAATGCTGGGAGAGAATCAAGTACTCACTAAGATCAATCCCTATTCCTCGGAAGCAACTGTACTATATTAGTATGGTTAACATTAAGCCACGGGGAAACTGCAATCTCGATGACATGAACCAAGTGTGCAAAGAGTGTTACCAATACAAAAGGGTTAAGCTATTTTATAACATTGCAACTGATATCCTGTGAAAGTTCAGCTGAATAATCTACTGTTTGTTTCCTGCGAATGTTGTTTCTTAATGTTTTATCTTATGTTTGTTTTTGCTTTCAATAAGTATTAAGACACGGTTTTTTTATATTGAAGTTGGTGTTTCTTTTTTATTTGTCCTACTAATGAAGGTTTTGTTAAGTTTAAGAAATTGTTGCAAATTACAAACGCAAACCAAACATATTTTCATTTTCAAATAATATTTATTAGATAAAATATATATTTTAATTTTTAATAATATGTTGCCTATAAAATGGTGTATCTAAACTAATTTTCATAGACAAATGATTTCTATTGTTTTGTTTGTTATTGATAACATTCAAAACAACTGAATCCTATTTTAATCTAACTGTTATAATGGCGCTCGAGGAATATACCTTTTTAGGCCGTTTGGGTCCAAAATTACAGATATGATCGCATCCCTTCAGCTCTATGTCATTTGAAAAACCAACCCATTACCTATAAATAATTAAAAAAAAAAGAGTAAGAAAAGTTTTTAATAATCCGATTTAATAGTATAGATTGTTACCATAAGTAATATACATGTGATTACGTTTAATTTTGAGATTTGAGATTTGAGATTTCAACGTCCTTCACAAGTCTTTCCTTCCTGCACCCTATCTTTCTAAGATCTCTCTTTTATACGTATCCTTGAAGTAAAAAACTTATTAGTTACCTAAATCTGGAATACCAATATAACAAAAAAGATTTATAGAATCCTAAATATTCTCCTTTCCGCAAAATATGGTTGCACTTAAAAAGTCCTTCAAACCTAGATTGTTTGCCCCCTATATAAGCTAGCATTCTCCACACCTCATGGAAAATAAGAGAATACTATGGCTATGGTTACAAACAACAAAATCAGTTTCGTGAGCAATCTCAAACCATTTAAAATTTCTTGGAAGATTGAAGTTAAAGTTATTCAGAAGTGGACAAACTCTCAAACCGTTCTGAAGGAGACACATTGGAGTTCATACTGGAAGATAAAATGGTATGTCTTTCTTTTTAACCTATTTGTGCACTATAATTAATAGTATAGATCTACTACTATACCTGCACTTACAATTATTTATATGGTAGGGAACCAGCATACATTGTATCTGTAAGAGTCTCTTCGTTGATCGTGTTAAGGATTTGCATGTTGGTGAATGGAGGGTCGTCGAGAATTTCTCCCTGATCCCAGCTATGGGGTTTTACAGAAGAACCAGCCATCCATTCAAGATTTCCATCATAGATAGTACTATCGTCACCGACCCTTCTCCAACTACCTGCGAGGTACCACGTTTGTTATGTTACTACTGACTTATTAATGAGAAGGATTGTTTAGTACTTGACTAGAACTATTTAATTGTTGTGTAGATGATTGATCATAACAAAGACTATGAGAAAGGAGCTGGTTCCAGTTCTTCTTCATCTAAGCGCAAGGAAGGAGATACTGATCTTAATGACACGAATTCGCCAGCCAAGAAGTTATGCTGTAGATTCTGAAACTGGAGTACACAAAGGAAGTTTAGCTTTATTTTTGAGTCATGTTGTTTCGAGATTTTACAATTTATTTTTCAAATTTTCTTTGTTATTTCAATTCTTTTTATTCAATCCTGTTTCTAATAAAGCTAAACTTGGTTATTACTAAAACTCATGTCAACCAGTTAAACTCAATTTGATAATTGCTAACCAGAAACCACTCATCTAACAGCTCAGTAAAGTACCTATTTACGCCATTACTAAGAAAAATTTTCTTGGAGCTCACAGCAAGATGGATATATGAAGGAAGATGTTTACCATTAAGGTTGATATATGCAGGAAGATGTTTGCTCGAGATTCCATACCCTGCTGTTTCCTTTTCATCGATAGATTTCTTGCTCTTTAAGTAAGAATCTTCTGTAAACCTGCCAATTTATTTATAAATGTTAGCATATATACGATATAAAGATTTCCATATGCAGCACACAAAAAAGAAGAGATATATAATTTTCCAGATTTATAAGCATATTTATTACTTAAAAACAAAAAAATTGCACACAAAATCCCCTACAAGATATGATCCTAAATTCCTATAACTAACGCTTATAAATCTTCTGCTAAAGATTTTGCGCATACTGAAAGGTTTCAGCAGGAATCAATGAGAGATACAACCAAAAAAACTATGCCTACTGGATCTACCGTTAAGAGGAAACGAACTACAAAGAACAATCAAACTACTGGGGATTACAACGAGAATCTTGCTACCGTGTGTAAGTCGTCTTTTGCATAATTATAGATTTATTATCTTACTCAGTTGAAGAATAATCTCTTTTTTTTCATACATGTGACCAATTTGATATGAAACAAAGCACAAGACGACTTGGTCTCCACTCCAATTTCTACTACTTCAGTGAGAAAAGCAATTAATAAGGAAAATGTAACTGAGACAAACCCCTGTCCACTTGCTAAGAGGTTTAGAAGGAATGAATCTGTTGACCGTAAGTCGTCGATGTGGTCTACTGTTTTACTTGAGTATGTAGTTTTGTTTTTGAAATAATATTCACTATGTTTATTTTTGTCGTCTCAAAGCTCAATCTAACATTCAGACACCACCAAGTTCTTTTCCTTCAAGCTCAATTTCTCAAGGTTCTAAATCTAAGAGGAAGAGAACAACAAATGACACTAAAGAAGACCACCATCATTCCCAAACCTTTTCAACTCAATACAATAATTCGAAGCCACTGAAAATAGGCATTGAGAGTGTTCTATCTGATGTTACCAATGTAATTCATTCTGTAAGGACAGAGACACAACAATCTGGTCTGACTACTACCTTGGAGAGAACTACAGAGAATACAAGAATTGGCAGAGCCACTGAGTCTAATGGAACTAAAACAGGTGACCAACTCAGAGGAATTCCGTGTACTCCTGCTAAAAGGCTAAAAACAAATGATTCTATTTTTGGTAAGTCGTCAATGTGCTCAAGCACACAAACACAACAATCTGCTCAGATTCCTACCTTTGATTCATCTAAATCCTCATTAACAGCAAAAGGTACTTCTAATCATAGTGTTTTAAATATTGTTTTAGCAAGAGGTAATTTTTGCTTAATCCTGTTTTTTATATATCAAATCTGTGTGTTTTCAGGTAAAGGAAAAGGAATAGCATTTTCCTATAAAGGAAAAGGTATAGCTGTTACATCTGATGCCGTCTCTCGCAATATGTTGAGACAGTACATCCAATCTAACTCACTTATTTCTTAAATCAATCACAGCACAATTTGTCGAAAGCCCTGATGATGATGGATACTCGAGTGAAGACAATGATGAGTCAATATATCAGGATTACGAGGGTAATTTATAGTGCTCTATCCTTATAACACGCGATGTTCTTGAAGGTTTGAACTATATAAATATGAATTTGTGATATTTCTAACTAAATGATCTTAATGTCAGGGGCATCTGATGAGTATGGAGAACAAAATTATGATTGCAGTAGTGAAGAAAGTGAAACATATTCTGTATCAGGGGTAGATATTCACGAAAACTATAAAGAACCAAACACTGTTGGTCCCTTCAAGACTACTACTTCTTCGAAGGCAAAAAACAGTATGATAATTGCATTCATATTTTTTAGTAAGCATATTTCATGCTAAACGATCTTTAAAAATGAATCCTCAGATCTGTTTTTGGTTAATTTAGGATACATCGACGAAGGTGATGCAACATACAAATGCGATCATTGTGGGGCTATCATGTGGTATGGTGAGCGCATAAACAGAAAAATATATGCGAGCAAACCTAAATTTGCTATGTGTTGTGGGCATGGACAAGTTCAGCTGCCACTACTTAAGGAATCCCCAGCCGTATTGAAACGATTGCTGACAGGGGATGATGCAATGAGTAGATATTTTAGAGAAAATATTAGAATTATCAACATGAATTTCTCTTTTACATCTCTTGGACCGCTCAGTTCAGAAAGGAATTGGTCCTCAGATGTTAGTAATTCAAGGAGAGAACTATCATTTGATGGGTAGTCTAAAGCCATCAGATGGTGATTCAGCTAAGTTTGGCCAGCTTTATATTGTGGACACGGAAAATGAGATTAACAACCGATCTGATGTTGTGGGGGTAATTTTGATGTTTCAGATTTATTTTATGTTAGCTTATGGTAAAGTTTGGATATGTCGCTCACGTTTTGTTTTTATATCACAGGAAATATAAGAAATCATCTGAAAAGGCAAAGAAAGAGCAACTTAGGAAAAAAGTTATTGAGCAGCTAATGGTTATGCTCAACAAGTGCAACCCATATGTCAATCAATTTAGATCAGCACGTGATCGGTTTGATACTAATCCTGACCAGACATTTCATATGCGCATTATTAGTAGTCGAGAGAAAGATGGAAGAACATATGACACTCCCACGGCATCTGAAGTAGCTTCACTAATTCCTGGAGATTTCAATTTAGACATGGATAAGAGAGACATTGTGTTGCAAGAGAAACAAACAGGATGGCTTAAAAGGATTAGTGAAATTCATCCTGCGTATCTGCCGCTTCAATATCCTCTTATCTTTACATATGGTGAAGATGGATTTAGACTTGGTATTAAAAAGAGAGCAACAGATGCAACGGCAAAGCTAAAGAGGAAGTCAATAAGCATGAGGCAGTGGTATGCTTTTCGATTACAAGAAAGAGAGAATGAGTCTCATACTCTATTGGAATCTAGAAGATTGTTTCAAAAAATTTTGTGTGATTGTTATACAACTATAGAGTCCAATCGCTTATTCTATCTAAGGATGAACCAAAACAGCCTCAGATCAGACAGCTATGACTCAATCAAGCAAGCTGGAAATGCAGGAAAAACAGATATGCATGAGCAAGGAAGTCGATATTTGCTACCAGCCTCCTTCACAGGAGGAGCAAGATACATGAAGAACATGTATTTAGATGCAATGGCTATATGTAGGAATTTTGGGTTTCCTGATCTATTTATAACTTTTACATGCAATCCCAAATGGCCTGAAATCACCAGACATCTACAGCTGAGAAAGCTTACTGCTGAAGATCGTCCCGAGATTCTTAGCAGAATATTTAAAATCAAACTGGAATCGCTTATGTCAGATTTAACAGATAAACAACTTCTAGGGAAGACTGTCTCAGGTCCGTTTTTTTTTTTTTAATTATTCGAGCATTAAATATTTTTGTGTTGCACCACAATTCTAACAAAACTTTTTTTTTGGGCAGCAATGTATACAATTGAATTTCAGAAACGTGGTCTACCCCATGCCCATATTCTGTTATTCATGCATCCTAATTCCAAAATTTCAACCACCGATAATATTGACAAAATCATCTCAGCAGAAATTCCAGATAAAGAAAAGGAGCCAGAGCTTTATGAAGTAGTTAAGGATATGATGATTCATGGTCCTTGTGGAGCTGTTAATGTTAATTCGCCATGCATGGAGAATGGCATTTGTTCCAAGCCATATCCTAAGAGTCATGTTGAAAAAACTACAGTGAACAAAGAAGGGTTTCCAGTTTATAGAAGAAGAAAAGAAGGGAATGGCTTTATAGAGAAGAAAGGCTTCAACTGCGACAACACATATGTCATACCATATAACAAGGAGTTGTCTCTTCGGTATCGTGCCCACATTAATGTGGAATGGTGCAATCAGACTGGTTCGATAAAATATTTGTTTAAATATATCAATAAAGGGCAAGATCGTGTTACTGTTGCTATTGAACCTCCAGATAAGAATGCACCTAAAGAGAATACTTGTGTTATAGGAGGTGATTATTCTGCATATGTTATACTTCTTCTACTCGTGTGATCATGTGCGTTTTGAAATTCTTCTTTAACAGCTCTAACACGAATTTTTTTCCTATTTTATCAGATAAGAGTTCACCATTGGACCAGACTGCCACAAATGCCGCTTCAAATGAAGAGAGTAAAAATGAGATCAAAGACTTCTTTAACTGCAGGTGATTATGATTACCTAAGAATCTATGGCTTCTGTTACAGTTATGAGTATTCTTTGTGTGTTGAAATTTAAGAATTAAATTTCTTTTACAGATATGTCTCTGCAAGTGAAGGTGGTTGGAGGATATTTCAGTTTCCAATACATTATAGATCCACGCCGGTTGAGAGAATACAATTTCACCTACTAGGAAAACAGATCATTTTGTTTAAGGATGATGACACATACGAAGAAGTAACCAGCCGAAAACTTATTGAGAACACCATGTTTATGGGCTGGTTCGAATTGTGCAAGGTCAGTGAAATTGCTCGGACCCTAACCTTAGCTGAAATTCTAACAATGTTTACTTGGAATAAAAA